AACAGAACTCCATACATAGAAAATTCTATACCATGAAACTTTGTTTCATGCACATAAGTATTAAAAATAGTGCATAAAAGTACCTTCAGGCTTTATTTATAAAGTGTGTATAAAATACAAATAAATTTCATGTTTAGACTTGGGTCCCATCCAATTATGTATATGCAAATATTCCAAAATCTGAAAAAATCTGAAACGCTTTCGGTCCCAGGCATTTCTGGTAAGAGAAACTCAGCCTGGACCTGTTTCATAGGGGTCATTGTGAGGGCTGACCACTTGAGACCATGGCTTGCAGTCCTTGTTCACTAACAGTTGATTGTGTGTTTAGGGAAGGAGGTTCACTGTCTGGGGATCTGGGAAGAAGTGACCCTTGGACTGTTTCATAGGTCCAGGATCCTGGATGCTCTCCTGGCTCTCGCCTCCATCTCTCTCATCATTCTGGGCAGTGTTTGGTCGACTGACTGCCCTGGGGCTTCTGGTGGGCATGGAGGCCTCCCTGTTCCATTCATAGCGCCTTCTTCCCCCTTCTTGTTCCTTGGCACCTGCCAGCGGCTGGGAGCGCTCCGCTTGTTCCCTTCCTCTTGCTGCCCCTTAACCCTGACTGGTTTTCCCTCCCTCTCTCAACCTGGCAAAGCCTTCTCTTATTATCCCCAATGCCATCCACATAGTAGGTGCTTTGCAAAACTTAGTTGCTTTACCAAAACCCAGGCAGCGCCCCACATGGACCTGGCCTGGGCCGTGGCTGATTCTGGCTGAGCCAAGTTTCTATTCAGGGCCCTGAGTCTCCTGGTAGGGCTGGCATGTCAAGGGCCACAGTTTTCCTTACCATTCTGGAGCCGCTGGGCTTCTGGGTAAAACTGTCTGGCCAAGAGACACAGACTTTCATTTTTTAGAAAGGAAACCCTTCCCAACTGGTGGAAAATAAGCTTTTGCTTAGTGACTAATAACATAAACACAGACAAGGTTTCTGGGCTTATAAATAACCAGTTGTAAAAGTGCCCAAGGGAAGCAGCCCATTTCTCCAGAAGAATGGCCGAGAGTGTTCCTACCACCTCGCTGATAGTGACCTTAACCATGGGCAAGGAGCCTTGGGCTGAGGGTGCGGAAGCTGGTTATTCTTCAGTGCGAATTCCCAAGGCCTTGCTCTTATAAATTATATATCCTAGACTTCTGGAAAAATAATAGGTGATCGCGACGTTCCTTCCTGCTTGAAAATCCTGTTTTTCTGGGGCAGCCATAACACATTTTAAAGAGCCTCGCGGTCGGGGAGAGGAAGATCTTAGGGATTTTGTTCTGCCATAGCTGCCCAAGAGGCAGGTGAAGTATGATGGGAATGGCTTCCATTGACTGAGCACAATTTGGGAGGCGCCATGCTGAAGACAGACTCATTGAGTCCCCCTAGGACCATGTTTGGAAATTAATAACCTCATTGATCTGATGAGGAGAAGTCAGAGGAATTAATGTGTATGAATAATAATATAGAAGCCAAGAGCTTGGAGTCTGCAGTCAGACTGCTGGGGCCCAGTCCTGGTTCTGGCTGTGCTCTCTGAAGCTGTGCCCATCAGTCATTAGCCTAACTGCCTCCAAGGGTGGCGATCTATACTACGAGGATACTCAGAGGACCACACCTATATGGCAGAACTCACGTAAAATGTTTATTAGCATGGGTCCTGTGCATAGTAGGGCTACAACACATGTTGCTATTATCAAGAAGGAACTCAAGAAGCTTCATCCCTATCGCCACACACCTCCAAGTCTAGAATTCTTACTTGCATTTAGCTCACGTAGGTTGCCTTCAGGACCGTGGCCTTGAGACTTGGATTGCTTCCTATGAGCCCGGGTGAAGGGTGAGAGATGCTGTCCCAGAGCCAGGCCCAACCTGGTGGGGAGTTCTCTGACTGGGTTGCCAGCGCATGACATTGAGGGGCTAATTTTATCACTGGGATGCCACCTGCTTCCCACAATGGCTACTGACTAGGTTTTCAGGGTGTCAATAGGAATACCGAGGTGGCCCAGTTGACCTGCCGAGGTTCAGTTAAGGAAACCAGACTGGGAGAGGGCAACCAAGGATCAGCATTTTATTTGTGTTTGACCCGGGAATCTTCTTTGCCAGGGAGATCTTACAGAAGCTGTGCTTCAGTGCATGTGCACGTGATGCTATTCCTCAGCTTCCTCACCATGCAGCCAGTAGAGAGAAAGGCTGGAAACTAGTGAGGATGGACTGGGGTGGTGAGCAGGACTCTTGTACAGGTGGGACCCACGGGACTTGATGGAACCTGTTTTCTAGGGGGTTACCATCCTATTGAGCTGTCCTGAACTGGATTGTGCTTATGTCTGCTTGATGCCTAGCCAGCCAGCTGGATAGGAAGGAACCCAGTCCCTGAAACAGCCTCAGGGTCTACACTAGGCTGTGGCCTCCACCTCCTGGTGACAGTCACCAAGGGGCCAATGATGACTTTGGCCCCTTTAAGGATGCTCCAGACTCGTTGGGGTGTGAGGCCCTTGTTTATTTTCCGGTCAAGGTCTTTCCCTCTTTCTACATTTCCTGCCTTTTTAGAATGGGAAAACCTGCTGCCTTCTCTGGGGCACATCACTCTGTCATTTTAGAGCCTGATCCACACGTCCGAGGCAGCCTTTCCAGTTTCCAAAGTTTATTGTTAATGGAAAGTGCACACTAGGCTGAAATGCTGGCAGGAGCCGAAGCTGCAGGGTACAGCGGGGCCAGCAGATGCCAGAGCAGCCGGTTGTATCTGGCCGCGCCCTCCTTCTCCTGCCTGCCTCTCCCCCTTCATTGTATCATAGAGGTGGCTGGACTCAGAGGGGCCAAAAAGGAACCGCAGGGGCCTGAGCTTCTAGCAACCAGTGACACGTGTGGGTGGAGGGAGACCCAGGCCTGGGACACATTCCAGTTCAAGTCAGTTGTTCATTGGGTGTGTGCATGTGTGTTTGTCTGTGAGTCTGTCTGTCTGTCTCAGTGCCAGGTGCTGGGGATGCAATACTACTAATACCGACAATAATAGCTCACATTACTGAGAGCCTCCTGTAGGTTCAGGCTTTGCTCTGAGCATTGAACTTAGCTGGTCTCAATAGGATCCTCCCAACAGTTCTAAGAAGTGCTTACTAATGTTATTCCTATTTTATAGTTGCCTAGCCTGAGGCTCAAGAGAGGAGAAGCAACTTGCTCAGAGTCCCACAGCCAGTCAGAGGCAGAGCCAGAATCCTTCTTAGGAGTATCCGATTCCCAAACTACAGGTTTTAGCACTCTCAGGGCAGGTTCACATTCTAGGGGGAGGCATTTCCCAGAAAATAATTGAGCGTGTTTTGAAAGTGCTAGGGGGTGGGTGTCCGCCTGGCAGAGTAAGAGGCGGAAGGAGACTTGCGGAAGGCACATTTGAGTGCGGTCTTGATGGATGAGTTGGAGTTTACCTGCAGGGAAGACAGGTAGGGGGAAGGCCAAGGGCAGAGTGGGAAATAGCTCAGAGTGTGTGTGTGTGTGTGTGTGCACATCTGTGTGTCTGAGCAATCGGTTATGCATTGGCAGGTGTGTGGGGGGCCTGATGGGAATAGCAGAAGTTGATGAGGTGGAGGAACATAGGCTGAGGTCCTTCAGGGAGGGCCTTGGGTACCCCACAATTTTATTCCACATCCCTCTCGAGTGATGCATTTCAAAACAATTGTTATTTCTCTTGTTGTGGCTCCGAGGACATCTTGGGTGGAAGCCCAGAGCACAGAGCAGGTAGCAAGGTGGAGGTGGTGCTGAGGACCTAGAGCCTGGCCTTCCCTCTGCCCCCCTGCATTGGTCGTGGATGTCTGCCTGGAACCCCCAGTTTGAATGTGACTGCTGGAGAGCCCCAGAGCTGAGGAGAGCAGCACTTACAGACATTGGGGGAGGTGCTGACTGTGGTGCTGAGGAGGTTGGGAGAGAAGGGCCAGAGCTAGAGGCAGGGACCCGGCTCAGGGACATCCCAGACTGTGGCTCTATGGCTCCCGTCCTTGCCAGGAGCCAGAGCCAGCCTGATTCCACCAGCGCCGTCAAGTAGCATAACCTCCACGGGCCTCAGTTTCCTCGTTTTTCAAATGGCAAAATGACAGATACTTCCCGAGAGCTCACCATGAGGTTCAAATGAGTTTGTGCAGGTCCTCAAAACTTACACGAACCTGGTGCACGGTCAGCACAACATGATTATTTTCTGCTGTCCAAACACCAATTATGAAGTTGGAGTTTATTCATTAAATAAAAATTAGGGCTGGGGTTGTAGCTCAGTGTAGCACTTACCTAGCATGAGGTGAGGCCCCAGGTTTGATCCTCAGCACCATATCAAATCAAATAAAATAAAGGTTCAATTCTTAAAAAAAAAATTACTTGGCCCTATAGTATGGCAGAAAGATAGACCAACCCTCGTTACGTTCAGGTGGGAGAAATACACAGAAAGGATGTGAAATAGGGGTCAGAGGGGCCCATCGGGTAACACAGGACTCAGTGACGTCCCCATTGAGCAACTTTGGGTTTTATTTTGAATGAGAAGGAAAATCCAAATGGTTTTGAGCAAAGAGAGGACAAGATTGGGCACCTGTTTAGGGGTGAGGGTAGGCGTCAGATCCAGCACCCGGTCCTTGTGGAGGGGCTGGTAGGTGACAGCTGTGTGTTTATTGCCCCCCCTCTGCCCACAGCAGAGCTCCTCTGGTGGGAGGGGGTTGTGAGGAATGATCTTGGCAACGGTGGTGTTGGTGTCCTCAGAAAAGAACCACCTTTCCCTCGATGCTGCGAAGGCGTGTCCACTGACGCAGAGAAGTCCGTTGTCCACCCGGCTGGGAAACTTGCCCGAGTCCTCGTGGTGTGGGGTGGGGTGCGCTGGTTTGTGTCCTGACCCCTTGATCGCTGTTTGGCTGGCTTCACCCCCATCAGCGACATCGCCGCCGTCCTCTCTCTCACTCTGCGGTCACAAGTGGGCTTGCTGGATAAACGGGGTATTTATTTATCGCTTTTCCCCCCACCGCAGTGTTTGAGAACAAAGATAAGATTGTGATCATCATGGAATATGCCAGCAAAGGGGAGCTGTACGATTACATCAGCGAGCGGAGACGCCTGAGCGAGAGGGAGACCAGACACTTCTTTCGGCAGATCGTCTCAGCTGTGCACTATTGTCACAAGGTACGGCCCAGCCTGACCGGCAGCTAGGGCCACGCAGGGCCCCATGGATGTGTCATTCTTTCCAGATTATACAAATGATACCTGTTCATTGTGATATAAGAAGAAAATCACGGCTATTCAGAATCCCAACTCTAGACCTCTCTTGGCTGCCTGGAAAGGCACTCACAGTTCCGGTCTTTCAGTGCTCTGTATTTTATTCTTAGGTGCCATTGGGAAGCACCGCTGATGCTGTTTTCATTATTTGAAGTGTGTGAACACTTGGATTCTGTATGAATGGGGCTTTCTTATGTCTAATTAGGAAAGCCAAGAATGTTACAATGTAAACCAAACAGCTCCCAGGATTTAGAACCAAACAAAAGCAGGCACCTTGTATTCCATCGTCCTCCTCCGGGAGACGTGGTTTTGAGCATTTCTGAGTTCAGAGTGCCTCCCTGAAGGCTTGGATTAGGACAAGAGCAGCAGAAATACATGTTGTCATTCCTCTCCAGTCAGTGCTTTTGGAGATATTAGGAAATGTCACAAGGAAAAGAAAACAAGCAGCCAAGATCCTACTATAAACGTGGCAGCCGGTGTGCTCCTGAGCGCGGCTTCGGCTGCACACGTCCCTCCTGCGGAATGATGCTCAGATCCACACAGCTCCCTAGAGGACAGTTGGATCTATTGCCAAACGGCCCATTCTCATCTTTCGGCTGGTTCTGTGTCACTGCAGTTCAGCTTCCAGCCTTGCCAGTGTGCCTGATGGGAAGCTCACACAGTGTGGCAGTGACCCGCTTAGGTGAGGCCAGTGTCTTTGGTCTCATTCCTCTGCTCTGTGGTTCACCTTTCATCTGCCCCTAGTCCTGCTGAGCCCAGAGGGACTGTCTTCCTCTACCCTCCCAGCTCTGTAGGAAGTACCCTGTGGTCCTCAGGGCAGGTCTCCATCACTTTCATGGGTCAGAGGACCTTGGCCCAAGCGCCTTTCCAGCGGGGGATGCACACAGACAGGCGCGGCCTGGGAGCCCCGCACTCGGAGCTGCCTGCCGACGGCTCTGCGCCTTCCCTGGGAATCCCATCTCAGACAGACGTGGTCTGTGCTGCCTGGGACATTAGGCTTTCACACAGCGGAATTACATTCCGACAGAGAATCCCCCTGCTGGTTTACAGGCGCTGGGGGAGAATGGATTCCAGTCATTTTTCCCTTAACCACACAGCAAGTGACTAATGCTCTCCTGTCCTTGTCGCTGGCGGGGGAGCGTCATGACAGCAAGAGCAGCCCTGAAGGATGGAGGTGCAGACCACCGGGCGGGCGCACTTCTTTCATCTGTCAGATGTTTCCACTTGCTCAGCCTCCTCCTTCCTCTTTCTCTCTCTCTTCCGGCCGCTCCTATTCAGTTCCCCTCCTGTCTTCTCATTTCAGAACGGTGTGGTCCACCGGGACTTGAAGTTGGAAAATATACTGCTCGATGACAACTGCAATATTAAGGTAAGGCTCTTGCCTCGCTGATTGATAGGCAGAGTCTGGGTTGCAAGGGGCTGGGGGCGGAACCCCCTCTGGGCTGCAGCCTGGGATGAATGAGGCAGCCACTCACTTCCCTTGCTGCAGGCAGATTCCGGAAGAGCTTGGCTTGAGCTCTCAGTTTAGTGCAGTTCTATCCGACCATCATTAATTGATCTCCTACTATATGCCAGACTGTGCTTGCTGCTGGGGTGTAAAGAGATGACCGAGATACAGTTCCTGCCCTCAGGAAGCTCCTAGTCTAAAGTCATCCCCCCAAAAGTACTTAACATCAACTAACACATATTTCATATGTATTTCACATCCTGTTTGACTGATATTCCCTTAAATTCAGTCTTCATGACACCCATACATCATTTTGCAGATAGGGAAACTGAGGCACAGGAAAATCAAGTAATTTACCTACCCAGAGTAACACAGTGGTAAGTAGTGGAGCCATGAGCCCAAGTTCATGTCACCAAGTTCATGCTAGCAGGGCCCCACGTCTCCTACTTCTCCCTCCGACCCGCTCACCCCTGACACCAGCCGCAGAACTGGGAGGCTGACCAAATTGATGGTGGTGTTGGCTGTTGGGAAATTGCAAAGGATGGAGTTTACTTTTATGGGGAGTATTATTGCTGGCTGCCGTCGGAGCTGGAGAAAGCTCTCCTGGCCAGCAGGGTTCAAGTGCCTCCTGGGGAGCACTGTGAATGTCCTTTTGATCACGTCTACAAAATAAGCAAATACGGTTTCAAAATAAACGGAGCTCGCTGCATGGGTTTCATTATGAAATGGCCTCAGTCTTACCAGCACCAGCAGGAGCCCTCCAATTGGCCACTTGTGACGTTAGTGCCTTATCCCTGGTCCCCGGACAAAGCATGGGAACGGGTTTGCACCCTTGTCTCTTTTGTTGTTCTTGGTGTCAGTGGTGGGGTGCGCAGCGAGACAGTTCCCAGCTTGGAAGGATGGAGTTGCTTTTGTAGATCATGGTGGCAACCTCTGGTCACCACCACCACCCTTTGAGAGCCCCTGGAAGCCACATCCTGGTGACCTCTTGTTCTCCCAGAGTAGCTGACCTCAGTTGTACATTTCCATATAGTCCGTAGAGTTCAGAGGAACTACTGGTCAGTTTCCTTAGGAACAGGAAGTGCATGCTCAGGATCTTTCCATTTTGGGCAAAGTGACTGGATTATTCTAGAAGGAGCACTAGATGTGGTGTTAGAAAATTCTGGGCTGTGTGACTTATTAGCTGCTTGACGTGGGGAAAGCCACACAAACCTGTTTCCTCCACTGTACAGCGGGCAACAGTAATGCCCAGCGCGTTTGCTGTGGGCTGTGAATGAGATATTCTCTCTGTTCAGTTCTATTAACTGCTAAGAACGGTGTACAAATGAGTCAAGGTTAAGAGTAGTGGCTTTGGGGATGGATAGCCCGGGTTTGCATTGCAACCCTGCCCCTTACATCTGTCAAGCAGGGATGCCTCTTCCTATCTCTGGGGATTATTGTTCATTCATTTTGTTCATGTGCATTATCTGTGTAGTTACTGTGTACAGCGCCCTGTGCCCAGTCCTGGGGCATCAGTAACAACATGGAAAATTTAGACAGTACTATAGTGAGAGTGTTGGCACTTACCGATGCTAGATGAGAGCCACCAGTGTCTGGGCCCTGGAGAGGGAACCGAGAGGAAGCCATCTGGCTGACGGTGCTGGGTCCTGGGGAGTGGGGGTCAGGTCCCGCTGCAAAGTTGGGTCCCGGCCTTCTAAAGGCTTGTGTCATCGACCTTGGTGACTTTCTCTTCAGATTCTTCCTGCCACCTGCCCCCGGAGCCCTCAGAACTAAATCCAGTCTTTACAAGGCCTGGAATGTGATCCTCTGCCTGGGGATTGTGTTCTGTGCTGCACTGTGACCTCTTTGTCCTATGATGTAGTCCCAGAAGTGATAAGGCACATAGCTTCCTGCAGAGTCATAGAATTCCCCAGTGGAGGAGAAGAATGGTTAGAATTCTGACAGCAATTGTGCAGGGGACAATGGGGCAGGAGCCTGGAAGGATGGCCCATGTCCGTAGTAAGCAAGATGGCAGTGACAGGGGACCAGCTCCCAGGGACCAGCTCCCTCTATCTAGGACCCTCGTATGAGGTAGGCAAACAGCACATACAAAGAGGAACAATAACATTGAAGTTTGGACATGTCTTTGTCTTTTCCTTAGGAATTTCTACTCCTGGCATTTCCCAAGGTAGAGTATGTGTGTGCGTGTGCATGCACACACACAAACACACACACACATGCACACAAATCAAATCTCTCTCTTTTTTTTTTTTTTTGGTTCTTTCTCTGCTTATTCAAGGAATCCTAAGGTCTGAGAATCCCAGAGCTTGAAAGGTTGTCGAGAATCACTTTCCAACCCCTTGCTTTAGTGATCAGTCTTGAGTCTCAGTGACGTGTTCCTGATCACGCTGTGAGCCCGAGGTAGCCGTCTCTGTTTCCCTGGTGTGTCAAACAGTGCTCAGCACACAGTAGGTACTGAGGAACTGTCGGATAATGGAGTGAAGGAATAATGGATTAGAACTCACATGTTTGACTTCCAGACAAATTCTCTTTTTCTTCCTCTCACACCCACTTCCAAGGTTTATGAAAATGGACTTCAGCTGGTGTTGATTTGTCTTCCGGCTGTATACCCTCAGCACTTCCTGACTCAGCGTTTTGGCGAAGCATATTTAGAAAGGGCACTTGCTGACAAAAGCAGCCAGACACATGGCCACAAGCTGGCCTCTCGTGTCCATCCCCGCTGGACTGGGGGCCCAGGGCACAGATGGGCTATCCCCTGGGGATGGGAGCGGCAAGGTCCTGCCTTGAGGCTCTGAGGGTGCCTCTCTAAATGCGGGTCCGTCTTCTGTGTCTAGAGGGTGGAGGGCTTGGCCCTCTAAGGAAGCCACTGGTTTTAAACTTGTGACACGTCGCTGCCATCTCGGTGTGGGCCATGTAGCTTGCGCCTCTCCTCTTCCCTGCCTGATGTTGATTTGCCCAGAGCACATCTGGCCTTGGAAATTATTTATCTGGCCAAGGCGAGAGGGTGTGGTTTCTAAAAATACTCACACAGTCAGTCGGCAGAAAGAATGAGAGCAATGCGCTGCTTTGGGTTGCATTCCGTGCTCTGTGGAAGCATGGACTAAAATAGCACCCGGCGTAGCATTAATTTGCAATTAATAAAAAACGGGCCAGATTCACATCCCACTCCCTGGGAGAATGGAATGCTGACAATTCCCAGAGAAGACTCCTGTACAGACTCCTCCCAGTGAGAAGAGGGCCCGGCACCAGGGTCAGCCAACCTCCTCAGAGAGGGCTGGGAATCTGGTGAGCTCCCAGGGCTCGGGGTAGAGGGGCATAAGGGAGATGGCCTGCTGCCCCCGGTGACAATGGAAGCGCTGCTGTGGCTAAGAAAAGAGGCTTTGAATGGCCGGGGACAAGATGAGATAGAAACCTCCGGGTTTTAACAAGACCGAGGCTTGGGATCACTGGGATCACGGGCCTCTGGGCTTTGATTATTTGAATGCGAGAACTTTGCATTCCTGCACTAATCAATTCATTTGTTCATTCATCTCTCCACTGTGTGTGTGGGTGCGTGTGTGTGTGCGTCCATGCATTCACTCACGTAGTTCTGCACTTCCTCATTGAGCAGTTGAACCTCTGGGTGATATTTGATCATAAGTACTTAGCGAGTTCGCCCTGTGTTTTTGGCCTTGTGCTGGATGCTGGGGATTTAATAGTGAATCAGATGACCAGGTCCCTGTCCTCTTGGAACTCAGAATCTGGCAGTTGTTAAACCGGCAGTCGTGATGGACACAGAGGTAAATGAAGAAGCTTAGGTGCTTCCCCTCGTGGATTTAGGATTTCCAGTCGGGGGTGCAAACCAATAAGTAAATGACGTCATTGGTGCAGAAAACCCACTCAGGTGAGGTGGAGCATGCAGGTGCTGATTTAGCTGGGGAGGTCAGGGAAGGCCCCTTAGGTGGGACTTGAGCTCCTCGGCCCACCGAGCTTTCTCTGGCTTCCTGACCCTGGCGCACATGGTTCTGTCTGGAAGGCCCTCCCCACTCTTCTCTGCCTGCTCTGCTTCCGGGAAGCATTTTCCAAATCTGATCCCTTGTGCCATGGGGTGTGAAGTGCTGGAGGAGCTAGTGGGTCTGTCCGTCCAGGGGAAAGGACCAGAAAGCCTTTGTGGAGGAAGTGGTAATGGAGCTGGGTTTTGAAGGATGGATAGGAGTTCAACAGAAAGGCCTGCGACAATGGCCCTTCAAGGGAAGAAGCCACAAACTCAAGCATAAGGCGTAGAGAGTGGAAAGGAAATCAAGAAGCCAGGTTGCTCCCAGTTGCTTACTCCTCTGATCCCCAGGACATCCCCACCAGGATGCTCTGATCACCCGCATCTTGCAGATGAGGAGCCTCCTGCAGTGAATACGTACTGGGACTGGCCACAGCCGTGTAGCCAGCACTTGCCTCTAAGGCTCTACCCTTTACTGCCAACCCCCCAATTTGCCCCCGGTCCAAGAGAGCCCCTCGTAGGAAGGCACCTTTTAGTACCTGCTGTAGTCCGCCTTACCAGGAGGCTTGCCGACAGCTGTCTCTGGGAGAGAATCTCCGAGGGCTTGTTGTGGCGGGGGAGCCAGGTGTCCTGAGTCGCAGTGGCTGGAGCAGGTGGAGGATGCCAGAGTCCTGTGTGCACTGAGCCGCAGGACTGCTCCTCCGCTCCCCTGGGAGGTGGCCTCCCGGATGTGCCCTTGGGCAGCAGCTTCTCCAGGTTGCTCGCGGTTGCTGGTTGCTCGTCTCTGGTCTCTCTGGAGAGGCGGTGTGAGCGGAGACCTTCTGAAGACGAAAGCCTCTCGCCTCTGCTCATTGCTCCACTCCCTACCTTCAGTTCCTGACTGCAGCTGTCATGGTGAAGCCCAGCAATTAACTCTGAGGCCGGAAGGGAGCTATGAGTGTGTCTCCCT